TCTGAAGAGAATATAACAATCTTTTAATATTTTCACGTATAAAAATAATATTTTCATATGTAAAAAATAAAATTATTATAATGTATTATAATTTTTTATTATAATACACGATAAGAATATATGTAAAACAATTTAATATTTTAAAAATTATTGATTCTAAAATAGATGTTTTCGATGAAAGTTACAGGATGTTATGTGTTTCATTTAGCAGTTGTATTATTTTGATTTTGGCAAAAATTTTATTTAGTTATTATTAATAATTTTCCTAAAAATTTGCTTGCATATTTTAATAAAAATTCGGTTTTTTATATATATAAGAATATAATTCTTGTATTTAAAAATATTAAAAGAGGTTTTTATATTCTCTTCAGATCATATTTTGATAAATCATATTAATCATTTAAAAATTATAATCATCATTAGAGAATATTTTTATATCTGCAAGCAGTTTTAAGAAAATATATTTAATATTAATTAAATTAAAAAAATTTTCGTCAAAATCAAAATGATACAACTGTTAAATGAAATACATAATATCCTGTAACTTTTGTCAAAAACTTTTTTTTACAGCTATAATTTTTAAAATATTAAGCTATTTCGCGCGACTTTTTTCTTACCGTATATAATAGAAAATGTTATAATATATTATACTAAAAAAAAATTCTAATTTTTTTTTACATAATAATTAGTCCGTCGATGATGCCAACAATGAATCCAATAATTAACCTAAATCTGCAACATCTTTAAAAGGCACTGCAACATAGTAAAATAATATAATTAATAATTTTATAATAATTTATTATATTCTATACAAAAGAAAATAAATTTTTACGTACTTAATCGTATTAATTTTGTTCCATTGTTTCGTCTGCTTCATTGTCCAATGAATTATTGTCTTCGTCAGCCCAATATTCCTGAGCTGCATTTCGCTCCTTATTTCTGTTCCCGTTATCTTTTTTACGGTTATGTGTCCTTTGACGTTGTTTTGCAGCTCGCAAAGCTTCTCGCAAGTATCGCTGGAATTCCGATCGAGTTGGTTTTTCAAAATGTTTATTATCGGAAACAGCAGCTGGAAAATATGACAAATTCAATTTTATATTATAGTGAAATTGTATTACATGAAATTTTGTACTATTATTGAATTAATAACATATATTAAAATATGTGTGCAAAGATATATAATATTTTATTACGAAAATAGAAATGTTGATGATATTTATTGAGGCTCATGTTGATTGTCAAATCTGCGTTGACAGCACACACAGTGTCACATATATGTGACAAAATTATGAATTATAAGTCGTGACAAATAACGTTAAGGCTCCTGGTCCCTGAATCGAGAACCCCGCGTTGACGATGGCGACGTACCGTCGCGGTAAAAATGAGAATTCTCTCTAATGGAGAATTCTAGCTGTCCTTTGTGACATGTTGACAACCTATTTTGTCGTGCGTGGAATTTCCTTATTATTCGCTTTATACTTGTATTGTGCTATAACGTTTAACGTATTCGTGAAACTCGTAAAATTGACCGAGGAGTAAGATTTGCAAAGAATTAATATATATGCGGAGGAACATTTTCCACTCCTTTTGATAGTGATCAAACGGCTTGTTTTCCCGTATGTTTAGGCTTTGGTTTATGGTTGTTTGTTTGTTGTCGAGGGAAAAGAATAGTCCCCGGTCAATTTAGTGTGTTCTGAAACATAGTGATTTTTTATTGAAATATCTTTTTATTTGAGAATGCTACGCACGACAAAATAGGGTCATTCTCGCCTCGATAGCAAGAAATTCAATATGGCCACGGTGACTACCCAGGAGCCTTAAAAAGCTATAAATTATTCTTGCAACTCATTTTTTGTTGTGAAGCAATATTTAAAATAATTATTGTAGTGTTAAAATATATCCACAGACACCTATTTTGTTACAATTTAATATATGAAAGCAAATATTTATTTTAATTTAGCAGCTGTCAACAAACAATTTGTTTTTTTCATTCTTGATTAGACACAATTCAATTTAACATATGTGGATGCCTCCCTATATAAAAGGGGAGTTTTCGATATATTTTACAAGTCTACTTTATTAATTACAAACGCTATCTTAGTGAAAACAAGATAAGTTGCAAGAATAATTTATAGTTTTTTAACGTTATTTTTCAGGCCTTACAGTCTACATTTTGCCAGGTGTGACGCTGTGTGTGGACTGTCAACATGGGCTTGGCAATCAAGTCAGCAGAAGTTTTAAATGTACTTTAAATTATTTTACATTGTAATAAATTAATAAATTATACTTTTTTTATGTACAAATATTGCACTATTATAGTAAAGAAAAAAAACTATAAAACTAAAAATAACAAATATTTTTAAAAATTTGTACAAATATAAAAAAATGCGCTCAAATAATACTACACCGTAAATCGCCTTAATGATTCGTGTGTTGTACAAAGGTAGTGAGTCTTCTTCACGGCCAAACCATGTAAACGCTGTTGTTGTCTGATTTTCCATAACTTCTTTGAAACATAAATTGACTGCTTCTTTGGCTGTGAATCCGCCAATGTATTGAAGATAATTTACCTGAAACATATGAAAACATAAGTATGTTTATTACACACATTTATTTATTAAACATTAAAAATCTCTCTGCATTTTTACATTTAAACTTACAACTTCATTATAAGTCGCATCATCAACATTTTCAAAGTCTTGCACATCTTTTTCCGTGGAAAACGGTAAGCATGACACTTTTTGTGTAATTCGGCATCGATCTCTGTCTTGAACACATTTCAAAATCCGTTGTATATTTTCATTCAAATTAACAAAATTATCATTCAATATCCTGTAAACAATATAAATATATATATTATATGTTGTATACATATATTTTACTATATATTATATGTACATTAGACTTACCTCAATTGACTTTCCATAATCTCCAGTCGCTCCTCTGTTATCCTAAAAAATAAATATACATTAAATATGTGTATTACAATTTCTCTCTGTATTTTACAATAATTCTTATACACTCACAAATATTGTCCATTATTTTCTGCGTGGCTTGAATGTGGTTGATCTCGATAAATATTTTGATTAGCATTTAATCTGTTTTCTACGTGGCTTAAATGTGGTTGATTCTGGAAAATATTTTGATTAGTATTTAATGTATGAGAAGGTGTAGGTGTATGTTGAGAGTAATGAATACGAGATTCGTGAGATGTTTCCATTTGTCTACTACAAATTTGTTGTGGATAATTAGTGGGTGTTTGTATATTTGCCTCAGATGACTGTGCGTATAATTGTGAATTCTGTGTATTATACATTTGATGATTCTGTATATATATTTGTTGATTCTGCGTATGCACGTGTTCATTCTGTGTATCTATTTGTTGATTATGTGTATGCATCTGTTGATTCTGTGTATGTATCTGTTGATTCTGTATATGCATTGGTTGATTCTGTGTATGTGTTTGTTGATTATGTGTATGCATCTGTTGATTCTGTGTATGTGCTTGTTGATTCTGTGTATGTGCTTGTTGATTCTGTGTATGTATTTCTTGATTCTGTGTATGCATTTGTTGACTCTGTGTATGTAAGTGTAAATTATCGTCATCAATTTGCGAGCAGTTTGATGTGAAAACTTCTCGCAAGTCCTTTATGTCCTCTTCTATAGCTGGTCGTTTTCTTGCATTTGCTCCTCTCCTTGGTACTTCGTCTTCAGATGAGGTGGTCTGATATCTTGGTGGTTTCGTAATTGTTCTTTGGCTTTTTGGACGACTCATTTTCCTGTAACGAAATACATAAATATTGTTTAAACCATAAAATATATATAATTAATACATTGCTCAATAGTTGTAATATATATATATATATATATAATATATATATATATATATATATATATATAATATATATATATATATATATATATATGTATTGTGACGTTGCGGTTTCGCCGCGGCGTGGCAGCGCTCCGCCGC